AGAAAGTAGAAAGATACTACAACAAGAGAGCCAAGGGGCAACCACTCAAAATTGGCGACTACGTCCTCAAGGCCAAAACACAAGCGTCAAAAGACCCTTTTGGGAACGAACTTGGGTGGACCGTACAAAATTGTAGCAACAGCAAACAAAAGAGCATTCTAGCTAGAAACAATGGAGGGAAAACTACTCCAAAACAACTGGAACGTTGCCTATCTCAAATACTTCAACTTCTAAAAGAAGGTGTCACCTAAGTCGTAGTCTTTTTCCCTCACCCGAGTTTTATCCCAATTGGGTTTTCCCGGGGAGGTTTTTAACGAGGTAGCAAGGGGGATACCTTAAGGAACGACATTCTGTTCATTACCTCGACCCGTCGATATGACCTCCGGATCGAAGTAACGAAGGGACTGCATATAGATAATCAAATCTCCATTGTATTTACGGAATCAAATCTCCATTGTACTTACGGAATCAAATCTCCATTGTATTTATGGAATCAAATCTCCATTGTATGTACAGAACTGGATCTCCACTAGACGTCATGTGATGTCTTCCTACGGGAATACGATCAAATCTCCAACAATGTAAGTTCGACCTCGTTCGAACCACGACGAGATTATACTTCGACGACAGTTCGAAGCAACATCCCAATGGCCAAGGCCATCGACGACAATGTAAGTTCGACCTCGTTCGAACTACGACAGGATTCTACTTCGACGAGAGTTCGAAGCAACATCCCAATGGCCAAGGCCATTGATGGCAATATAAGTTCAACCTTGTTCGAACTACAACGGGATTCTACTTCGATGACAGTTCGAAGCAACATCCCAATGTCCAAGGCCATCGATGACAATGTAAGTTCAACCTCGTTTGAACTACGATGGGATTCTACTTCGACGACAGTTCGAAGCAACATCCCCATGGCCAAGGCCATCGACGACAATGTAAGTTCGACCTCGTTCGAACTACGACAGGATTCTACTTCGACGAGAGTTCGAAGCAACATCCCAATGGCCAAGGCCATCGACGACAATGTAAGTTGAACCTCGTTCTAACTACGACGAGATTCTACTTTGACAATAGTTTAAAGCAACATCCCCATGGACAAGGCTATCGACGACAATGTAAGTTCGACATCGTTCGAACTACGAAGGGATTCTACTTCGACGACAGTTTGAAGAAACATCCCAATGGCCAAGGCCATCAACGACAATGTAAGTTCGACCTCGTTCGAACTACAATAGGATTCTGCTTCGATGATAGTTCGAGGCAATACCCCACTGGCCAAGTCCATCGACGAAAACATAAGTTCGACCTAGTTCGAACTACGACGGGATCCCGCCTCGACTTCAGTTTGAAGCAACATCCTAATAGCCGAAGGCGTCAACGATATCATGTGTCCGATGAATGCAAGAAAAAAACAAGCCGACAAAAGTAACTTTTACATTACAGCAAAACATCATTTACACTAGCCCCTACAAACGGGCCCAATTACGACCCGTGAAAAATTCCCTAAACAAAAGCAAATACAAACTAAGACTACACATCATCCTCAACGGGGTAGGCATCTTCGTACCACGAATCTGAAGCAAGGCGATTTGCATCATCAGAGTTGATATCATCCCCGTCAGGTGTGAGGGGGTCATACCCGCATGACTCACGAGCTACAAGAGCATCGGCATGCACAGCCTGAACCTCCACCCCAGTAGCCCTTCCCTCAGTGTGAAAAGCCTTATACACATCAAGTCGAGCCTCAGCATGGACCCACAACTCGTATAAACAATGAGGCACAACCGGATCGGCTGAGGCATGAGACGTAGAAGGCTGAGAATGTCGACACGCATCCTCCGCCCTCAGCGAGGCCATTTGTCTATTTAGTGCGGTCAGCTCCTCCTCCAGTTCTTTGACACGCCCTTCGAGCCCTGCCACCTGATGACCAGAGGCTTTCTTCTCCTCAGTCAACTCCGACCTAGAAATACGGAGGGCATCTTCCAAAGATACCAATTCAAAAATAGCTGCTGCTAGCTTATCAGCGCTAACGTTCAGCTTGCCCTTAAGCCCCTCAATCTCTGATACCTTAGTACTTAACTCAACAGTAAAGTCGGCCACATTCTCCTGTAAGTCGGCATTCTCAGCTATCACCCCCTGCTCAACTCGAGCTCGTACTCCTTCGCATTAAGGGAGACCTCCAACTCACTGTTACAGGCGACAACGTTCACGAATTCTTCGTCCCTCTCCCTCATTTCCTCAATCTTGCACTCCAACTGGTCCTCCTGCTGCTTGAGCCCCCCTCAGAAAACTTGAAAATCTGGGTCCAATGATAAATGTCGACCATCGCCCAATGCTTAGCCCAATACTGATGATATTTGGACGACATCTTCTCATAAAGGCCCGTCCTTCTCCTCTCTCGACACTCTCTCTCTACCTCCATGATGAGGGTTTGACAAAAAAGAAGGGAAGAAGTCAGAAACAAAGTATAAAACGATGATTATCGCACCAACCCAATGATGAAAAGAGAAGGAAATGCACCTACCTGCAGGGCCATACCAATGACCTTCTAAGATAACTCCACGTCGCTCATCGCCCTAAGCATATCGCTTTCAGGAGCGGCACATAGAGGAGCTAGGGCCGATGCCACTTGCTTGTTGTTCAGCTGCAAGTTGTAGTTACCCAGAACTACCACATGACGGTCGGATCCGTCCATCCTAACCTCCACATGGGTATGCCGACCCACAAATTCATTAATATCCTCTGGGTCAATATCCGAACCTGATTCACCACCCTCAACACGATGCCCCCCAACGTTGGACGATTCACCACCCTCAATAAAGCGTGTTGAACCAACTCCTGTGCCAACTCCCTCCACTTGGGGAGATCTCCCCGACAAAATGGCATCGGCCATGAACACAAGCACAAGGGTTGTTCGGGATGCCCCGCTGCCATCAGCGTCCGTAGCCACGCTTTTCCTCAGCTCAAGCCTCATCATTTTCCTCGACAACGGCTCATCCCCATTAGAGGATTTATCCAAAGGATGTGAGGCCAGTACCGAAGAAACCTCTTCCCTCACGGCCATGACTTGAGATTGATTTCCCAATTGGATAGGTTAAAGATGATCCTCTCGAACAGACTCACTTAATACAAACTACGTATCTGCAATGGTAACGGCTTGTTGAAAAGCGGGGACTGGCGCCCTTCGCCTAGAAGCACCTCGATCTGTCATCACAGAAGTTCGTACCATTAAGTAAGGTCGCATGGATAACGAAGTAGTAAGCGATACGTTTACCTGAGGAAACTTTAGGGCCATAACGCTGCGCGAAGGCGGGCCAAGTTCGAGTTTCTGCTGCATGAGGAAACATGCAGGCTGCCCAATCTCTGATACCCATAATGGGGCGAGGTGGAAGACCCATAGCTGCAAAATGGCAAGCGAATAACCTTTATAGTAAATAAAGAATAAAGGGGAACATGACAAAGGACGACACTTATGAGCCCCGTTCCACCGCTCCGAGAATCTGGCGGAGTCAGAAATGACGTGCTCGGTCTTGACGAAGAAGTACTTATGACAAAACTTGCAGCTCTCCCGGTCATCCGTCCCGACCACCAGCCCTTTCGTACCACGCAGCCTTAAATGCACCATGGTACCCTTGAGGAAACCAGGTGTGAACAGGTGTAAAAGGTGGTAGACAGAAACACTACACTCCGCCAACTCTGTATACTTAGTCAATAGTAGAAGCACCTTGAGTGTGTATGGCGAAAGTTGCGCTGGGCAAACTTGGTAAAATCTACAGAATTCTTCCGCTAGGGGGAAAAGAGGAAAGGTATAGCCAATCGAAAAAAGGTACTCATAGAAAGTGCAGTACCCAGGTCTGTGGACATCCACGTAGTCTCTCCCCTCTGGAACCATTTCTATATGAGCAAGAATGCCAAACTTTACACGAAGGGCATCTATATGGACATGCTCTGTCATAGAAAATATGGGGTTCGGGGTAGGAGGTGGATCTTTGAGGAAGTCACTCCGGGATAAGGGGTGCCTCGATAGTAGCTCCTCCACCGTAGGAGGGCTGTTACTCTCTTCTACCACCACATCTCCGCTGTCAGAAGGAGGCATCGTGATTACATGGTGGCTTCAAGAACCTCTTCGCGAGAATGACGATACCTCGGCATAATATCGTTTCAAGGAGTATCAACACAAAAGGAGAAATGAAGAAGAAGCTTTAGGTGAGGACCGAAACAAGAACAGAAGGATATGAAAGCAGGTGAGAAAGAATGAAGGAGGTCTTCAAGAGAGGAGTGGCTAAAGTTTTTCAAAAAATCAAATCCTTCACCTATTTATAAGATTGGGAGTCGCCAGAATCGAAGCAGCGGGCTTCAAAGCAGCGCAAGAATCGAAGCACCAAGTCGTTAGTCCCCGCCTCGAAAACCTGCGTAGTGATGACGCACATAAAGCTGACATCACTTCCCGAGAAGTGTACCACACGATTTTTTGCCGAGCATGATGACCATCTCCCATTGTCCATGTCATAATGCTCCTACAGGTCAAATTTCTCCAGAAGAGGGCATGAAGTACGCTCATCGAGGACACATCTGGTCGCGATCCCGACAAGCGGAGGGACTAACTGTATGGGTCTAAATTTGATGGACCTCGACCTATGACGAGTAGGACAAACGGTCAAGTACCTTCAAATCGGCGTCCCAAAGGAGACGACCTTAGGGCGAAAGAAGAAACTACACAGCCCCTGTAGTAGTGTAATCATATTAGGGGCCATTAAGAATATTCCACCAAATATTCCCTGTATTTGGTTGCTTACAATTCCGAAGTATTTTTCTCTATTATATAAGGGGGGAAAAGAACTTGTAAAGGGGAGATTCGGGGGAAACTTACCAATCTTGAATGAAAAGAAACTTTGCAACTCTCTTCCATTTACCTATTATTATTCTAGAGATTATTATCTCCAGCTACGATTTACCCCTTCATCTTCGATTGATTTGTTCAAAAAGGTCTTAACATCTTTTGTGTCAAACAAGCATAAAACCAGTCTCTTGAATAATTGCTAGTCTCAACGGTGTAGACGAGATAATTTGTAGGATATAAACCGCTATATTGTTTCCACAAACCGTACTGTCTAAAACTGCAAGCCAAAGTGAAAACAAATGATTTACAAGTACATCTAAAGTGTATTTGTACTCCCCAATAAATCCTGGGACTGTTGCATACAAGTTATATGTACCAGATATGACATTCTCTATGATAAAATTTGTTAATAAACTCTATTTGTAAAATAATTCTGGAGAAAATAAAATAACATAAACAAAAATATAAACGAAATAAAAGTTAATCTAAGCCCACTGAATTCACAGTGTTTCCTTAAGGAATTTAATCGCCTCATAGTACCCAAGGTTATAGATTATTTCCTCCCAGGATAAAACAAATTACACACTAGTGTAGTGGTACTTCAAACCCCAGTTTTCCAGCAAACACAAAGTTTGGTAGAAAATCACACTCTGTTATTTTCTTAGAAGTTAAAACTATGTAGAAGAAGGAGGATAAACTCAGAAAATCGTATGGAAAATCTGAGAGGATGGACTTGTATTTATAGCCAATGTTGGGCTGAAATCTGAAGAGGTGCAATTCTTCAGAATGACTGTTTATGCAAAACGGCCACAACATAAATTCTATAACATAAATGGATATTTACTCAACAATAAAGAGGGAAAATAAAGCGGAAATATTGAAGAGGGCAGTTAATTTTATATTACCCAATTAGAAAACGAAAAAATGGAAACGGTTGGATTTTAATATTAATATTCTTGGATTTAATATTAATATTTTGTTATTAAAATGGATATTTAATAATTTTCTATTAATATTTACTATTAACAAACAAATTTGGTCCAAAAAATTAATCAATCAATCGATCATTTGACCAAATCCAAATCCAAATCTAAATCCGAAGCCGAAGCCAAAGCCGAGCCGATCAAGCGACGACGACGGCGCGATGCTTGCCTTCTTCTCAACTCTTTAAAAGCTAGAATAAGAGCAATTTCTTATATACCCATTAAAACCTCTTCCTCTTCCAATATGGGACAATGTTCCTTCATCGGNTCTGCCCTTTCAATTGCCGTTGGACTATCACAATGTATCCATATTGGTGCAACGGTTTGGGCCAAAATGGAATGTCTTCCAAGAAATTCCGGAGCCATTCAACTTCTTCACCGTCTTTATNAATGCTTAAAACCCAACAATCCCCCACATGAATGGGGAATGACTGTATCATGGAAATATGCATGAAAAACTGTGTGATTCGCAAGCAAAGATTACTTGCATCTGGATAAGTAGGTTTCCCTTTGAACTTTTCATAGTGAACTTATGTCGGATATACTCGATCAATCGGTAGATTT